AGCAGGTAGGGTCTTAGAATCTTATGGGTCACTGTAAGGAATATGAATTTTTGCTTGATCTTATTTCATACAATCTGACTATTCTCAGAAGACCTGCATTTGCTTTTTGCTTTATCTCCTATCTTTAACTTCTGCTTACTGAACCCTAGCCTGAATTATGTCAAAATGTCAGTCAGGCCATCTGAGATATAATCAATCTGGGGGAAAGGGACAGTACAGAATGAAAATGTAAAACCCCTTGCTAAAAAAAAAAATTATTAACAATTTCAAGATAGTGACAACAGAGCACTAAACTAAGTACGTGGTCCAACTAAGTGAGGGGCCTAGTTAAGAGCAAGGCCCTGTGTGGGTGACTGCACAGCTCACAGACCCATGAGGCTGGTACTGATCTTGAAAAACATTACTTGAAAAAAATAAATACCTTTTACTGATAAGTGACTTCTGTTTTCTTTTCACCTTAACTGTCAATCATAAAACTTATTCAAGACCTTTTAAATGGAGTAGCCGTTCAAACATGTTATTTAAAGGAAGCTGCCAGGAAATAAGAAACTAGAATATTAAGACTTACTGAGAGAACTTCATGCCACTATTGTGCACTAAATGGAAAACATAATAAACACAGTAAATATACTAAACACATAGTAAAGATACTAAAAAATGTAATTATAAACTGAATTGTAAAAGCAATACATCTTTATAATCTTTGCATCTTCAGAAAGCCTAAAAAACAATAATCAGATAAGAAAACATTGTGACTATCAAACCATTTTTTTTCCATTTTTCCTTCTTTTCCTACCTTCAGCTATTTCACTCAACTGTCACCCCCCTAAATGGTCTGCATGAAAAATAACCCACTATTTTACCTACTATGTAAAATTGGACATGATCATAGGTAACTAGAAAGGGTTCACAAGATTCAATTAGTTACTACTAAAAAATGATATTACAAATTAAAGGGGTCAAGTCTGAAATGTCAGTCCAGTCCCTGATGTTTTAAGTTTGAAACAAACATTTCTACCTGCAGGAAAGGGCTGCACTAGCCTTGCCTGAGGTGTCCCCATTTCATTCATGGTAGAAGCCATTACTCAGTATTAGTTATCATAATGATTTATGCAATGTCACAAGCATATTCAGGCTCATTAAGAACTGCAGTCAACACTGTATTACTGCTATCCAGATTATTGTACCTTGGAAAAGAGTAATTTCATTTGCAACTAATTATAAATAAAAATCCAAAACAAAGACATTATTATTGACAAATTTATGCTGCTACCTGTTTGATACACTGAAGGGTTGCCTGGGAAAAAAGAATGGTCAAAGGGAATGCTTTGTTGGTTTCAGCGACATTAACATTTGCATGGGGTTTGAGTCTATGCTGTAAGGAATTTAAAATATGAAGTGTTTCAACCTAAAAGAGATGACAATCTAGTGTAAGAACTAAGGTAGTTAACAGATGAAAAAAAAAAAAAAAAACACCTGACAAACAAACATTCTCATAACACAAGAATAAATTTTCAGAATCAAAGCATCTTGAAATTTTTGTGCCAAAGTAGAAGAGTCACAAGATACCTTTTGATTCTTTTGTTCTTTGGTTTGTAATTTTGCGGCCTATGACCACAAGTCAATCAATCGCTCTTTTAAGGTGACTGTCATCACTCACCTGGACTGGTGCAACTGCCTCCTAACTGTTCTCTTTTCTTCTTTTGCTCCCTTCCCCTTAGTCCACTCTCCATTCCAAAACCAGTATCTTTTTTAAAATGTGAATCAGATTTCACTTGTAAGCTTCATATTACTTTTAGAATAAAATACAAACCCTTGATACTCCAGTTAAAAATAAATTTAAAAAAATATAAACCTTGGACATGGCTTAAAAGGCTCTATTACCTGGCCCCGTAGACCTGCTCTGACCCATTTCTGACCAACTTTTCTTCCTGCTCACAACGCTAGGAACACACTGGCCTCCTTTTTGTTTTTCAGTGGTAAGTAGCTCTTTCCTGCCTTCCCGCCTTTGCATGACTTAGAACTGTCATTGGTAGGTTGCTCCTTATCATCACTCAGGACTAGACTCAAACAGACCTTTCTTTAGTGCCCCTCCTCCTGACTTTCAATGGCTGTACTGATTGTTATCTGAAATTCTTGTGTATCTGTTACTTGCCTTTCTCCTGAGTCCCTTCAGTAAAAGGACACATTCTATAACTGATCTTCTTTAACTTTCTCTGTGCTGTAGCCCCAGTAGGTAGAACAATGTCTGGCCAACAAAAGTACAATAAATAAAATGTTGAATGATTTGAAGTCATTTAACTTATCAGGATTTTAGTTCCTCATCCACAAAATGGGGATAATTATAACTACTCTGTAACACTGAAGAAGCTGAAGTTGAACGGTTCTATGAAGACCTACAAGACCTTTTAGAACTAACACCCCAAAAAGATGTCCTTTTCATTATAGGGGACTGGAATGCAAAAGTAGGAAGTCAAGAAACACCTGGAGTAACATGCAAATTTGGCCTTGGAGTATGGAATGAAGCAGGGCAAAGGCTAATAGAATTTTGCCAAGAGAACGCACTGCTCATAGCAAACACCCTCTTCCAACAACACAGGAGAAGACTCTACACATGGGCATCACCAGATGGTCAACACTGAAATCAGATTGATTATATTCTTTGCAGCCAAAGACGGAGAAACTCTATACGGTCAGCAAAAACAAGACCAGGAGCTGACTGTGGCTCAGATCATGAACTCCTTACTGCCAAATTCAGACTTAAACTGAAGAAAGTAGGGATAACCACTAGACCATTCAGGTATGACCTAAATCAAATCCTTTATGATTATACAGTGGAAGTGAGAAATAGATTTAAGGGCCCAGATCTGATAGACAGAGTGCCTGATGAACTATGGATGGAGGTTCGTGACACTGTACAGGAGACAGGGATCAAGACCATCCCCATGGAAAAGAAATGCCAAAAGGCAAAATTGTTGTCTGAGGAGGCCTTACAAATAGCTGTGAAAAGAAGAGAAGCAAAAACCAAAGGAGAAAAGGAAAGATATTCCCATCTGAATGCAGTGTTCCAAAGAATAGCAAGGAGAGATAAGAAAGCCTTCCTTATCAATGCAAAGAAACGGAGGAAAACAACAGAATGGGAAAGACCAGAGATCTCCTTAAGAAAATTAGAGATACCAAGGGAACATTTCAGGCAAAGATGGGTTCAATGAAGAACAGAAATGGTATGGACCTAACAGAAGCAGAAGATATTAAGAAGAGTTGGCAAGAATACACAGAACTGTACAAAAAAGATCATCACGACCCAGATAATCACAATGGTGTGATCACTCACCTAGAGCCAAACATCCTGGAGGCCAAAGTCAAGTGGGCCTTAGGAAGCATCACTATGAACAAAGCAAGTGGAGGTGATGGAATTCCAGTTGAGCTATCTCAANAGTGAAGAGGAACTAAAAAGCCTCTTGATGAAAGTGAAAGAGGAGAGTGAAAAAGTTGGCTTAAAGCTTAACATTCAGAAAACTAAGATCATGGCATCTGGTCCCATCACCTCATGGCAAATAGATGGAGAAACAGTGGGAACAGTGGCTGATTTTATTTTTCTGGGCTCCAAAATCACTGCAGATGGTGACTGCAGCGATGAAATTAAAAGATGCTTACTCCTTGGAAGGAAAGTGATAATCAACCTAGATAGCATATTAAAAAGCAGAGACATTACTTTGCCCACAAAGGTCCATCTAGTCAAGGGTATGGTTTTTCCAGTGGTCATGTATGGATGTGAGAGTCGGACTGTGAAGAAAGCTGAGCGCTGAAAAATTGATGCTTTTGAACTATGGTGTTGGAGAAGACTCTTGAGAGTTCCTTGGACTGCAAGGAGATCCAAGCAGTCCATCCTAAAGGAGATCAGTCCTGGGTGTTCATTGGAAGGACTGATGCTGAAGCTGAAACTCCAATGCTTTGGCCACCTCATGCGAAGAGTTGATTCGTTGGAAAAGACCCTGATGCTGGGAGGGATTGGGGGCAGGAGAAGGGGACGACAGAGGATGAGATGGCCAGATGACATCACCGACTCAATGGGCATGAGTTTGAGTAAACTCCGGGAGTTTATGATGGACAGGGAGGCCTTGTACTGCGATTCATGGGGTCGCAAAGAGTCGGACACGACTGAGTGACTGAACTGAACTGATAACTACTCTGGACATTAGCAATAAAGCCTAATGTTTACTAAATGTTTACACTGCGAAAATCACTTCACATGCGTATCTCCATATATACTGTTACGGTTTTTATTTTGCAAGTAAGGCCGCTAAGTTTTAAAGGGGTCAAATGACTGGCCTAACGACACAAGGCCATAGTGAGGACCCGGGTATGAATCTAGACCTGTGTAACCTCGGAATCTGATCTCTTATAGTTCCTTGCAAGATGCTTCGTTTCATTACGGCAAAATCGGCTATGCCGTCCGCCCATTGGGTCTGTAGGACAACTGAAAAAAGCTATTACATCCCCCGTGCGTTTATTTTTCAAGATAAGCAGTCCATTCCCTTTAACCCCTCCTTAAATGATCCTCACATCCCGGTCACCGTCCTCTCAAAAACCAGTCTGACGACGTCTCTCCCGCCCCAGAACTGGTTTATCTTTCACTGGGCAAGCGGTTATGGGACAGGAGACCAACAGAAGCCGATTCCCAGGGGCTGAGAAAACAAAGGTGCGCGTGGGTCCAAGCGGGCTGTGATGACATAGGAAGGCTTCCCGGGAGATAATGTGAACCCAAACCCAGGACACTGATAGCGGACCGGCCACCAAGGGCCCGCGCGGAACACGGCCGCGGGCGGACGCCACGGCGAGATAAAGCCTGCTGGGGGCTGGAAATTTCAGGGACACAAGCCCATGTGATGATGGCGTGCACGGAGAGGAGAGCGAGGCATTTTCCTGAAAGTAAGTTAAACGAATACTGGAGGGAAGCGAAGTGGGAGAAACAGTTATTAACAAAAACGCGAACTTACCCGGCCACCCGGCCTCCGTAGCCCGACCACAAAAGCGGCTACCTGAGGAGACCCGTAGCCTAGGCAGCGGCGGGCTCAACCCAGAGCTCGCGAGACCAAGGAGGCCTCGCGAGATCCGCCCCCCTGCCCCTCACAGGCGGGCGCGCTTTCTGGGCGTCATGGGAGGGCTCTGGCGTCCGGCTTGGAGACGCGTAGTTTTCTGCGGGTGGCCTTGGAGCCACGTTGGGCGCCCAACCCGGGCTGCCGAGAGGGCAGAGCCGTGTCTCAGGCCGGGGAGGAGCGGACCGGCGGGTACTGAGCAGGGCCTGCGGCGGCTCGGGGCATGGAGGCGCCCGAGCCCGGCGGAGCAGCCGCTTCGGCGGCCGAAGAGCACGAACCCCTATACGCGCTCGCAGGAGGAGGACTGGCGGCGGCGGAACAAGACGGTCCTCACCTACGTGGCCGCGGCGGCGGTGGGCATGCTGGGCGCGTCCTACGCCGCCGTGCCCCTGTACCGGCTCTACTGCCAGGTAGGGCTGGCGCGGCCCGCCGGGCGGCCCTTCTGGAGGGGCGGAGGGCCGGGGCGGCTCCGTAGACCGCGGGGCCCGGTGGGAGGACTGTCCGAATATTACCTCCCAGAGGAAAACGGGCCTTGAAGTTCGAGAAAGCTAGTGACAGAGCTGCCGGCCCAGCTGGAGCTCTTGTGTTCTTGCCCATACCCCACTGCCGAGTGAAATTCCCTGATCTCAGAGCTACCACCCGAAAGGTCTGCAGCCTACACTTCTGTATTCAGCAATCACCTGCTGCTCACACGTCTGCCTGCTTTTAAAATTTATTTATGTTCATTCCTCTGAAACACATACAGGTTCTGTGCAAAGCTTAACCCTGGAAACGGGAGTTTGCTTGCTACTTCTGCTTAAACTGGGAGGAGCTTTTTATCTGTACAAACAACTGTGATTTAGGACTTTGTATAGATGATTTAGGACTTCGAAGCTTTTCTACTTTTTAATGTGAAACTGTAATGTCCTTCCGCCGGGCTCCCTTTTAGATCAAAAACTCTAGTGCAATGGTTTTCAAAGTGCAGACCCTCCCAGGAGCAGCAGCATCATTACCTGAGAGGGCAAGTTGAGTAGACTGTTGGCTCCAACTCCAGAACTGTATAATCAGGAACTCTGGGGAGCCAGCAACGTGTATTTTAGTAAGTCCCTAGTAGATCTTGATGCAGACTAATGTTTGAGAACCGCAGGCACAGGGCTACTTCACCTGTTACATATACATGTTCTGCCAAGTTCTTAAGCTGCTTTGGGCATTAGGTCACCTGTGGAGATTCTTAAACGTATCAGGGTTTCCCTACCTCAGAGATTCTGATTAGAAGACCTGGGTAGGGTCCAGGAATTTCTGTTTTAAAACCATGCCGTGAATGAGAGCTACACATTCACTAAATGAGTAATAGAGGGTTCCCAAACTTTGTTGTACATCGGAATCACCAATAATAATGAAACTGGAATCTAAAGGACTTTTTAGTCTCTTAATATCAGCATTTATATGGGAAGGGGCAGTGGCTTGATTGCTGGAGGATGAGTGTAGAATGTGAGTTAATGTTCATCAGAAGCTAGCCTGGACCAAGCATGAATCCCAAAACTACCATTGATGAAATCATAAACAGAACTGAATCCAAAACATCTCGTGTAGATATCCCTAAACCACGGGGCATGGACAGGGGGAGGTGGGTGGTTGATTTTATTTTCCAGGGAATATTTAACAATATCTAAAGACATTTTAGTTGCCACAACCTGGGAGGTGAAGGGGGGGGGAGGGTGCTATCTAGTGGGTAGAGGTTAAGGGATGCTGCTAAATGTCCAGCACTGCAGAGAATAAACCCCTCCCCCCACACCAAAAAAAAAAAACAGAATTATCCTATCCAAACTGTCGTTAGTGCCAAGATTGAGAAACCCTGCCCCAAACTGAAATGAATGACAAATTTCATTCACATGGGTGAAAGTGCAGGGCAGGAAAGTAAACATCTATTGTGGTTTGCAATCCTAAACTTAAATCTCAGTTGGATGTTCAGTAGTGACATTTCCAAAAGAACATCTCCTTTAATTTTTGGAATCACAGAACTTTAGAGCCAAAAATAAGGGATTATGTAAACCACTTCATACACCAAGCTCATTTTATGAGTATAGAAAGTGTAGCTCAAAGAAAGTAAAACTTAGTTTTGGGAGCTACTTAGTGACAGAACTAGACTGGAGCACAGGACATTTTCTTTTCAGGGCCTTTTTCTATTCTTGTTTAATTTTGCAAATTACCACTTACTAATTTGAAGACTGTATTCAAAGACTATCAGAAAGAAAACATTCAAGTGACTCAGGTTCTTCAGAAATAAGCTACATCTTAAAACATAGCCTTCTTGAACACAAGAATAGGCTTGCTCTCTGATTAAACAAGGGTATAAAGGCTTGCCCTCTGATGTGTCTTATAGGGTTGTAATGTAGTTTCATAATGCGTGGCAGTTTAGTGAAGCTGGTTGACTTGTTTAACAAGCTAAGGTAGTAGTACTGTGTTTTGCTGGGAGTCTTCCATAGCCTCAAATTTGGTATTTTTTTCCCAGTATAGTAACAGATTAATTATCCGGAGACCAGAATTCTGGCAACCTCAAGCATCAGAAGAATGATGACCCTGGAAGTAAGGATTTTTTTTTAAGCATCTCTGATAAGGAAATAAGTAATGGCAATGAAGATAGGCAAGAAGTGTCAGATACAGATTATCCAGATGCCTTATGATTAGTCCATTGAGTGGCCAAAGAGATCAGGTTCTCTGATTAACTGATGATACCTACGTAAAAGCTGTACAGTACCAAAAAATACAGAAAACATTTACAGAAACATTTTACCAACATGGCAAAATACTTAACGATGCTTGAGGAAAGCAGACTATAGAAGTGAATCTACAAATTAATCTGTACACTAAAAGTTATGATACAGAAAAGGACCAGAAAAGAATGTGGAAAATGGAATTAAATAGTTTTATTGAAATGACAGCATTGTGGGTATATTTTATTTCTATTAATAATAGTTATGAAATACTAGCAATAGCAAAAACATCATAAACTAAGATGTTTAGTGAAAAGTTCAGCTAAAAATTCAGAGCTCTGTTATCAGTGGAGAATCCATTCTCTTTCACATGATTCATTTTTGATCATTTTGACAACCAGGTAATTAGAAAAATATGACTTTAACATAGATAGACCCTTGACACCCAAAAAGTGGTCAAATCATTAGCACATTCATAGGAAAATAGTCAGTGATAGTATGTATACCTTGCTGCTACTGGATTATTGTTTTTAGATTTCGTTTCATCCAGTAAATAGGTCATCAGCACCTAAAACTACTGTACTTTTGTTTAGCATATTATGCCTTGTTATCTTTTTCTAGACTACTGGACTTGGAGGATCAACAGTAGCAGGTCATGCATCAGACCAGATTGAAAACATGGTACCTGTTAAGGATCGCATCATTAAAATCACCTTTAATGCAGATGTGCATGCAAGTCTCCAGTGGAACTTTAGACCTCAGCAAACAGAAATATATGTAAGTGCTTAAAGCAATGCTTAAAAGATTGTTTTTTCCAATTTAAAGATTGATTCTTTCATCACTTACTGTTTCACAACTTAGGAAACACTCATCTAAACTTAATTTCAAAATACTGACAGACTCCATTACTGTAATTCTTTCATTCCCACAGACTACTTTTTGACAGTGCACTACCCCTAATGTAACAAAATATTCTTTTAAGTTACATGGCATCATAATAAAAGTCACTTTGGAGCAATGGGAAATGTCTTATTTTTATTAGAATCATATTAAGAGTTCACTAAAAAGTTCTCTGGTCACCAGTCTTAAGAGTAGGAACAGCTGTCCTGGTGTATCAGACATTAAAAAATATGTCTGCAATGCAGGAAACCCGGGCTTGATCCTTGGGTGGGGAAGATCCCCTGAAGAAGGGAATGGCTTCCCACTCTGGTATTCTTTCTTGCCTGGAGAATCCCATGAACAGAGGAGCCTGGCGGGCTACAGTCACTGGGATTTCAAAGAGTCAGACACAACTGAGTGACTGGCACTTAAACTTATTTACCCCAGGTAGAGATGATATAGCAAACTGTTGAAAAACATTGGTTACACTGGAAAGTAGTTTGCTGATTTACATCAAAATAGCCCTCTCTCTTAAAATAAATTTAAGGAGTTTTGAAGTAATCATGCTAAAAAGTTATATTCTAGCTCAGAAAGACTATGCACCTTAAAAGTTGCCTAACGTCTTACCTAGAGAATTTAACTGAAATTACCTCATGAACTGAAGAATAGCCGGAAAAGTTTAATTGTAACTCTTATTGGAAAACTATGAATGTTAGTGCTTTCCCAGGTTAGCAATCCTGACTGAATCTCTTCAGTGATTGAGGGTGTTAAAGACTGGTTCTGAGGATTAATTCCAGTCACATAGTAGTATACAAGGTATTAGTGGCTAACCTGGTACGTGTGACAGAGCATCCTTTGGACACTAGTCAGTGTCCAAATACTTTAAAGCTTGCGATTTATTTTATCCATTATTTTCTCTCAAAAGAAAAGTATTAGTGCTTTTTGGCTAAATAAAATTTCTATTTAGTCAGTTTTACTTTGGTTATACATATAATTTACTCTGGTTGTAAACCAAGTTTAAGGTTGGTAACGTTCTCTAAAAAGTGAAATGAAAGTCGCTCAGTCATGTCCAACTCTTTGCAGCCCCGTGGACTGCATGTAGCCAGCCACGCCACTCTGTCCATGGAATTCTCCAAGCAAGAATACTAGAGTGGGTAGTCATTTCTCTCTCCAGGGGATCTTTCCAACCCAGGGATCAAATCCAGGTCTCCTGCACTGCAGGCAAATTCTTTACCGTCTGGGTCACCAGAAAAGGGAAGCCTTTTTCTAAGAAGAATCTTTAATCAATTTATATAATATTCAGGGATAACTGTTAAGAAGTTAGACTTGGCTGTTCTTGGACACATTTTAAATAACTTCATCTGCAGATTATCACTTGAAGACTTCAGACATACAAGAGAACAGTCCGTAA